CCTCCTCCTCCTCCTCCTCCTCCTCCTCCTCCTCCTCCTCCTCCTCCTCCTCCTTCTCCTCCTCCCACCCAAAGCAACAATAAACCCTGGACTGAACTCACCCGGGGCGGTCTGGGCTTCCCAGGCTCGGCTTGGAGCCTCCCAAGACACCCCAGGATGGCCCAAGAGAGCACGAAATCGCCGAATGCTCGCTTGAAGACGCCCAGAATGGGCCCAAGACGGCCCATTAAGCCGCCAAGACGCTCCAAGACGCCTCCAACAGGCTAGCGAACAGAGACCCAAGAAGCACATGTTTTTGGCATGTACGACTCTTCCTCCTTCACGGGGATAAAAACGGCCCACGAGGCCGCCAAGAGCGCCCCAAGAGGGCCCAAGAGACTCCCAAGAGAGCCCCGAGATGGCCCAAGAGGGCGCCAAGACGGTCCCAAAGGCGCCCAAGACGGCCCCAGCGTGCCCCAAGACGGTTCCGAGAGAGACCCAAGAGGGGGACCTCGAACCCAGAATTCCAATTTTCCGCCCAGATCGAACCTTAAATCCCCCCAAGAATCCGAGATTCGATCCCCCCCCCCGGCCCAAGGCAAACGCGCCATGAAAGCAGATAGGGCTTTACCACGACCCACATGGCCCCAAACCGCACCCAAGACGGTGGAAGAGCGACCCGACAAGCCGAGTCTTGCTCCCCTGTAAGAGAACAACAGCACCGCACATCGCGGAGCTAAGAGGGAATCAAGGGGTCGGCGGATGTGGCGTAAGCCTATAGAATCTTGCACAGTTGCCAGAGTTTCATGGGCTCCCATGGTTATCGTACCAGAAACGGTGTTTTAGAACGGCTCAAGAGTGCCAGGGCGCAACAATTACCCTGATCTGAGGTGCTGAAATCCCAGGGATGGTGCTCTGGCACGATTCAGGATCGTCAAGAAGCAATAGTCCGGTTCATTCGTGGCAATGAAATCCCGAGAATGCTGTTTGGCACGCATCAGGAAATTCAAACCGTTGTCTCCCTACGGAGCACTTCCCTTCAGTGGAAATGGACCTATGGATGGAGTCTTTAAGAGGGAGCTTGGGGGGAAGGTTTACTCCAACATCGTTGCTAAGTCTTGGGTTGATGCTGGTCCTCCTCCGCCTCCACCTCCACATCCTCCTCCTCCTCCACCTCCTCCTCCTCCTCATCATCATCATCCTATTCCACATTCTCCTCGTCCTCCTCCTCATCCTCCTGGTTCTCCCTCCTCCTCCTCCTCCTCCTCCTCCTCCTCCTCCTCCCGCTACTCCTCCTCCTCCTCCGCCTCCTCCCGCTACTCCTCCTCCCCCTCCTCCTCCTCCTCCTTCTTCCTTCCTCCTCCCTCCCCTTTTTTACTGCCTCATCATTCCTCCTCCCACCTCCTCCACCCCTCTCCCTAATCCTGATCCTCCTCAATCCCTCCCCCCCCCCCCCCCTCCTCCCTCCCCTCCCCTCCCCGCCCATCCTCCTCCTCCTCCTCCTACTCCTCCTCCTCCGCCTCCTCTCCTCCTCCCCCCTCCTCCAACTTCCTCCCTCCTCTTCCTCCTCATCATCCGCCCCATCATCCTCCTCCTCATCCGCCCCCCCTCCTCCTCCTCTCCTCCCCTCCCTCCTTCCTCCTCCGCTCCATCCGGCCGCTCCTCCTCCGCCTCCTCCCTCCCCCTCCTTCATCCCTCCTCCTTCCTCCTCCTCCTCCTCCTCCTCCTCCTCCTCCTCCTCCTCCTCCTCTTCTATTCAATCCTCCTCCTGCTTCCTTCCGTACCCCCTCCCTCTCCCCTCCTCGTTCCGCATCCCCCCTCCTCAGCCTCGAGCATTATTCCCTCCCTCTTCTTCATGCTTCTCCTTCCTCCACCTCCCCCATTTCCTCCATCGTCTCCTCGACCCTCACACCGCCACATTGCGTTGTCCGCCCAACTCCTTACTCTTACATCCCCCCCCCCCCTCCTACCTCCTCCTCCTCCTCCTCCTCCTCCTCCTCCTCCTCCTCCTCCTCCTCCTCCTCCTCCTCCTCCTCCTCCTCCTCCTCCTTCCACCGGACCACCGCCGTGGAGACCCAGTGGCTCGCACCCTGAGAAGGGCGGTCAGGCCTCCGCGTGCGCGGCCTCCGTGGCGTGCGCGTGCACGTCCTTCGAGGCCCGCCAGTCCGCGGCAGAGCCCCCACGCACCTCGCAGGGGGGCAGTCATTATCCTCCTCCTCCTCCTCCTCCTCCTCCTCCTCCTCCTCCTCCTCCTCTCCTCCTCCTCCTCCTCCTTCCTCCTCCTCCTCCTCCTCCTCCTCCTCCTCTCATCCTCCTCCTCTCCACTTCCTACTCCTCCACCACCACCACCCTCCTGACTGACAAGCGCTATATCGCAGCATCGTCCCTCCCATTCATCCTCCTCCTCCTCCTCCTCCTCCTCCTCCTACTTCTCCTCATCATCCGCCTCCTCGTCGTCGTCATCATCATCATCATCATCATCATCATCATCATCATCATCATCATCATCATCATCATCATC